CTGATTTTTGTGTAGACTGAGAGCAGCCCAGGGGTGCTGTGGGGGTGTAACAGAGAGGAGAATCTGTCCTAATGAATGTAGGCTGAGCACAAAATCCTGTTAACTCTTGGAGTTGGGGTTAAAGAGGGAAAAAATGCAGAGAAAACCCAGCGAATGTGGAAAAGTGTGAAGGGAAAGCAACATAAGAGCGGGATAGGAAGATCCTGAGGAGATGAAGGAAATCAGGAGCATCCTGATGCCACACTGAGAGGGGAGGGAAGCTCCAAGCTCACCTGTCTCGTTGGAGAAGCAGGTTTTGTGGAACTTGCCCATGTAAAACTCCAGCCCGATGATGGCAAACATCACGATGGCGAAGAAGAGGAGCAGCCCGATCTGCAGCAGGGGCACCATGGCCTTCATGATGGACTTGAGCACAACCTGCAGGCCTGGGGGGACAAGGAGAACATGTCAGGGAGGGAAGGGAGAAAAAACAGGGGCGTGGGGGTGGGGGGAAGGCAGGAGAGAGGGGCTGTCCATGGGAAAATTTAGGATTGGCAGTGCCACCAATGCTGCTCTTCCCAGGGGGTCCTAAAAATGATGCCACTGCCACAACAAGCTCAAGAGTAGGAGAGACAACCAGGAGTTATCTTTTTGTGGTGTCTTTTCTTCAGGTGACAGATTCAAAGGGTTCTTAAGCATCAGAGACCCAAAAAGGGTTTTTCCTGAGCCGGACACTGAGCCTGGAGCCGAGCCAGGTCCTCGGGGCAGGTCCTGCAGCAGCAGAGCTGGGCATGGCTCTGGTTCCCCTGTCCCAGGGGGTGCTGGGCTGAGCAGGAGCTGCCTCTCCCTCCACAGCACACAGAACAGCCACCATGCTGCTCCTGGAGGAACAATCCCTGTCTCCAGGGCTGTCCATCCAAAGCTTTTGCACCAGCACTGAAACTCATTTTCAATTAAAACCAGGGGAGATAAGGGAGAGGCTGGAGAGATAATGGCAAAAAGATGCCCACAACAAAAAACCTGCAGTGATAAGCAGCAGCTGCCTTGGTGGCCTGTCCTAAGAGGAGGAGAAAGAAGGATCATCCTTGTCTTGGCACCTTGGACAGCACTGGTGAGGTCAATATGGGGACATGCAGGAAAAAAAGGGATGAAGGTCTGTTGGATGGGAAAAATACTGCAGGGGTAGAAGGAAAGTGTAAATGTGGTTGTGTGTGATTGCACCTCAGGGTTGTACATCTGCTATGGGGGGGGGAGAAAGCCACAGTTTTCACAGCATCCCTAAAAACCTGAGAGCAAATATTGTGGGAAAATATTGTGCTGGGTCAGGACACGTCACCACGGGGGAGAACAAGTCCTGCTGGAGGGACAGCTCTGAGGGGCCACCTTGCTCCTCTGTCACCCTTAGACTGTCATTACCACACCTTGCACAGGCAAGAAGTCCATGAAAGAACAGTCAGCAGCATCTTCTTAGAGATCCTGTTAACAAATGTCACCCTTCTCGAGCCTAGCCAAGGACCCCTCCTGGGTGGGAATTCAGCCTGAATTCCTGCCCACAAAAAATGCTGATGGCAGGAGATTTTGGTGCAATGATTACAAAGCATCACCTCTTGCTGGGTGTCCACAGCACCAAAGTGTCAGCCCTGAAGCAGCCAGGGAGGTGGCAGAGCTGGTGACCCAGGAGGAGATGGGACTGACTCGCTGCCAAGGGGTTAATGCAGACAAGATCAGAGCATCCCCCAGAGCTGCAGTTCCCTTTCACCAGCTCTTGCTGGAGGGTCAAACCTCTCTGTTCCTCATTTAGAAATGAAACCCACTCCTGACTGCAGCAGGCAGAGGGGACAGGGACAAATAAAAAGGCACGGTGTGAGGACTGGGATGGATTCAGGGCATCAGCAAGGCAGGATGCAGCTCCTCACTGGAGCATTCACCCTTCAGTTAACACAGAAAATATAGGAAGCTGCCTATTGAGTAGAAAAAGCCAAGTCTCACCTGCTCTTTCCCTTCATTTTTCCCTCCCCTTATTTAAAGGAAAATATCCCCAGCACAGGATCTGATCAAAACCATCAGAACACCCAAGCTCGGTGCTGGGGGCCTGAAAGCTGCAGAATTTGGGTCTCAGGTCTTCACATCCCACAGAATTAATTCATCCCCAAAGGCAGAGGGGTCCCAGGAGTGATCCCTGCCCCTCACCTGCAAATTTGGGAGGGCAGAGCTGAAACGAGCTGGCTGAGCACAGAGTGGGGTGAGAGGAAATCCGCCCCTGGCAAGGGCAGGAGCCACAGCCAGCCAAGACAGAGGGGGAGAAAATATTGCTCAGAAAAGCATGAAACAGCCCAAAACCCCCAGAATCCCTCAGGCTGTGAGGTGACATTGTCCTGACACTCACTCGGGATTCCCGACACCAGTTTCAGGGGTCGCAGCACTCGCACAGCTCGCAGCGTCCTCAGGTCAAAGTCAGTGCCAGCAGTCGCCAGAATCCTGAAAAAAACAGGGAGAGAGGGCAAACATTGAGATTCAAATGCAAATTCCTCTTTCCAAAGCACGGATTAGTGTCATGTAAAACCAGCTAAGAGTGGAGATGCTTTAAACTTTATACTTGTGGTCATGTTGCAAATGGTGTGCACCGAACCCCATTAACTCACACCCTCCTCCAGGGCTGCTGAGCCTTGCTCAGACCATGAAAAAATCCCCAATCTCTGCCTGCTTATGTGGCCATTGACACATCATCTGGTCCCTAAAGAGCTGTGATGCAGGAAAACGCTGCACCTTTCCCAGAAGGAGACGGAGAGAGGGAAATGAGCCCCTCGGTTACACCAGAAATCAGCTGCCAGAGCTTCTCCCGGTAATAAATTCAGAAATCTCTCAAGTACTGATGCCTGGTGTTTCCCCAATATCTGAAGCAGTTTCTGGTTGTACAGTTTACTCTCTGTGTGCAAAATTAATCTTTGTTCAGAGCATCTTCTTTGAGGAGAATATTCAGACAGGAGGGTGCGAGTCTGATACACTGATATGAAATACAGTGTGTGAACTCTGAGATGAAATCCTGACATGAACTCTGATATGGTATCCTGACATGAACTCTGATAGGAAATACAGCCCCCAAACCAGAATGACTCTTCAAAAGGAAATGTCTTCACCATTTGAGGGTGTAGCAAAGGAAGAAATATTGTCCACAAGCCACAATGATGGAAGCTCCTTAAGCAAAGACTCTAAAAGAGACACTGCCCCACCAGCAAAGCCACATTCACTGCTTACTGCAGCACTTCCTGTGGTGCTTCAGCAAAAATATTCTTAAATTAAGGCAGCACTCCCCTAAAGCTTGGACTTGATGATCTTACAGGTCCTTTCCAACTTAAACAATTCTCTAAGACAAGCAAACAATGCAGGTAATAAAGAGCAAACCCTCCCACCAGCTCCCCACCCTCTGCACCATTTACAGCCCTCAGGAGCAATTGCCTTTATTTTGCTGTCTCTGCCCCCAGGTTGTTTTGCCAAGGTGGAGGTGGGTGAGCACCCAGTCCACCAGTGGGGTCTGCAAGCCCCCAACCACCTGGGATCAAATGCCACCCCTGTGTGCCCACCTCTGCTGAAGGTGCTGCCCGTGGGCACCCATCCCTGACCATCACCAGGTGCTTGGCCAACCCTTCCCTGAGAGTCCCAACAGCAACAGGGACTCACAAACCCGGCTGAAAAGTGGGATTCCAGCACTGCCAGATGCCATGGGAAGGGCTGGAAGGAGGTGCCAGGCTCAGGCAGTGAATCCCAAGGGATATTAAGCTCCCATGCTGGGGCACAGAGATGCTCAGAGCACCCACAGGGTGCACCCAGGATTCATCTGCTCCTGCCCAGGAGCCCTTTTTCCTGGTTTCTTGATAACAGGCTGCTGAACATCCAGCAGTGATCAGCTACCATAAAAAAAAATCACAAGAAAAAGCAGATTTTTTTTCAAAATAAGATGGGTAATTCTGCTCTGTGCTCTACAGGATGCCTGCAAACTCAGAGGAGGGGGATGTGGCTGTGTAGGGAGATCAAATCCCTGTCCTTGACTTACTGACTGACTTAGCCCTGCTGCCAAACAAGGGCCAGGGAAGAGCAGGATCAGCATTGCTGGGCGGAAAGGGCCAGACTCCCTCAGCAGGAGGTGCTGGAGATCAGGAAAAAAACACGCTGAGATGTTGGATGGCAAGAGGCAAAAGCCAGCCAGGACCTGAGGAGTCGAGTATCTATTCCATAGGACACCTGTTCCCACATTTTCACGACCTCAAAATTCCCATTACATCAGCTCCATGGAGGCAGTTTGAGCACAAGCAACAGGAGATAATTTAAACTAAGAACCATCCCATGCAGAGACTTCTAATTCCATCTTCTGCACCCATGCCAGTGATTTCATTCCTCTTCTCCCTCCCCTCCATCCTCACACTTTAATTGCTCACTTACAAACCTGTGCAGTGTGGGAACAACACTGCAAGTCAAGAGACAATCTTCAACATCCACCTTGGATGTTGCTCCAAAGGGCACAATCAGTCCCCAGAGAGCCAAGATGGATTTGTGCTGTCACCAGGCAGAGCCCTGCTTTGTGGTACAAGCTGAGAGAAGGGGGGCTTGATACAATTATTGGTTTGGTTTAAATTCAAAGAGAAACTGGGAGGGAACAGGAGACACCAGCAATTACCCCCCTTGTGCCAGTAAATCTTCCAATGGTTTGAATCTTCATTGCAGAGTTTTCTTCCTAACAGGTTTGATGTTAAAACACCCTGCCCAAACTATGGGAACACTCACACCCCCTTCCCCAGCCAACAAACCCTAAAGAGTCATTAATTCCCACATCAGTGCCACTGGCAGCCCTCAGCCAACCTACACAGGGCACCCCATAGCCCAGCAGGCCCCAGGGCTGCAGAGCTAGCCCAGGGACTGTGGCACACCACAGGCACATCACC